TTAGCCGCCATGATCGGGGGTTCTATAATTTCTTTTGCCGAAAAGTTCATAATTATTAACACTCAAAAAAACTCACGCGGGCATGAATATATTCCTGGTCAAGTCACATCTCGAGTTGCGACCCGTATTGGTACCAGGATCCGCTAATTATAGTTCCCTATTTCGTATTCTCAGTGGTGCCCTGGGTTTATCAGCACCGTGCGCGTGGGAGTCACCAATATTTAAAAGCGGGTAATATTCAATTCAATCCAGCAGATCATGAGATGAACATTTTGAAATGGGAGATAACTCACAACATCCATCGATACTGTCATCCGCAGCGGAACCCCGCCTTGAAACAGGGCTTGCTTGTCCTCCACTGACGTGTAGTTATCCTGTAAGCAGTAAACACAGTCAACACCTATGGTGAGGTGAGGTGAAACTGGGTTTAACGTCGCGTCCAAGATTATTGCACTTATATAGCGACGTGCATGTACGTGTGTGTGTTTGTGTGGCTGCTTGTACTAGTCCGGACTGATGCCGATTTATAGTGCTAGCACACTGAGATACCATGCCGCAGTTCAACATGAATACCCCACTCAGACACAGTATACTGACTCCGATCCGACCAGTCCTTGTTTTAGCCCCTTCATGCCGAGCGCCAGACAGGGTAACAACAAGTACCATCTTTTAACGCCTTTTGGATCGAACCCCGGACCTTCCGCTCCCCGGGCGGACGCTCTACCACTAGACCACGGAGGCGGTCTCAACACCTATGGGACGGACCAGGTGGGGAGGTCGGGTATTTTTTCTTCACTGTAAGGGACTGAGATTGTTGTCTTCTTAAGAAATAGCTATATTTTGTTTGGGCAACTTTGGAAAGAATGTTAAAAGTGTTCTCACTGTTCACTAAAACATAATAACTGTATATATGTAGGTGATTATAATTTAACAAAAACAAACAAAAACACCCCAGCGAACTAACATCAGCACACAAAAATAGAAGACAACAGTGGCATTCTTCAGCGCAGTTTTACAACTCAAGCCTCGCCCGTTCTATTATCAGCCAATCAGGAAACAGTAACCCTTTAGTGGGCGTGGCATTATATTCTTTCAGGTCTTGGAAACATAAACGCAAGAACATAGCTTCGTTAGCCAATAAAATACTTGCCGTTTATTTATATATAGAGGATATTTCATGTGTCGCGTGAAATATCATGTTTCTCTCATCTCGTGACGGGGAGAAATATGAAATATGAAATATCCTATTTATCATATACCTTTTTTGGGTAGTTTTCTCCCGGAAAATTAAATTATTTCACTACAAATGTAAAACCTTAAAACTTAAATTCTCCCTACCTAACACACAGGGACGGTTCACCACCCTTTGTATTGGCTACTAAAAAAGTAGTTTCTTAAAAAATATAAACAAAAGTATCGAAAAAAAATATAGGGTCAAGAAAATTTATAAAAAAAAAATATTCTTGAAAACTAGGAGACCGCTGTTGGAAGCGAAAGAATACACCCTGGTCAAGTAACAAAAATGGCACTTTGCAAAACGAACATTGACGAGTTAAATGAGACATTTACAGTTTATAACGAAACATATTCGAGAGAATAACGAACGGCAAGGAGTGATATTTACTCCATAAATGACCATCTGTCATTATTTTGCCATGTCAATGTGGAACTAACGTAAAATGGACGTCAACAGTTTGTGTACGGGCTTGACACTTACGATAAAGGGAGACAATTTAAGGGGAGGTAACTCTTGCATGACAATAGTTCCGTCAAAGTATTATGTTCACTGCAGTGAAATATCACTTTTCTTAACTTCAGAAAACTCAGTCTTTCACACTGAAGTAAATAATAAAACGTGAACATATGAGTTGCAGCTACAACATACGCCAAGTACCACGTGATGACATACCGTCCTGAAGAACCACTGCCACGTGCTGTTGACTGGGTTTTCGTATGGATAATCGGTCCTCCGTCCCACCCATGTGTCTGCATCGATATTACGTGCGTTTTTCTACAACAGATACATGTTTGTGAACGACACATTGATTACGCTGACGTAGATGTAAGTTACACTGGTACAGTAACATCACCGAGACACTCCGGTGCCTGCATGCGTCACCATATACAGTCCTCATTTCACTTACAAAGTAAGGGGGCCGTGGCCAAATCGTCTAAGGCGCCGCAATTGGCTGTGCAGAGTTGCGTCCCTTGGGCACGCCAGATACCTTGGGCTATGGGCTCGAAACCCACACTCCTAAATCACTGAATAAAATATTCATCTAACTGAGTACACCAGTTATCACGTTTTTTTCTTGACTTGGGCAGGTACGCACCTACTCTTGCTGTAAATGGGGATACAGGGGGGATAACTCCGATTGTCAGACAGTGGATACGTACTGCTGGAGCTAGTGCTGTTGTCACACTCTAATTGATTAACTAAACACGTCTTTACGCGGGCGGAAACGTTTCCCGCTAATGATATAATTTAGAACTCACATTTTTCGGCAAAACTGGCAGAATTAAACATGCAGTACATGTACTCACGGCCGAAAGACCATTATATACATGTACACCATTTACGAGTGTAACAGCAAAAATGTCAATCTTTCTAAACATGAGAAACCTTTTTAAGCATGAGGTATATTTTAATTCAATACTTCCACGCTGAAAGCATTTGGGTAAAATATACTTAAATATATATGTAACTTAGTTTTGCATCGTGTTCTTCTTGTGACCCATTCACTCACTACACCTTTAGATGTGGACCACCCACTCACCGAACACCCCTTCATGTGACCAAATCACACACTGACAACACCTTAAGATGTGGTCCACCCACTCACCCAACACACCTTCATGTGACCCACCCACTCACCCACCACGCCTTCATGTGACCCAATCACACACTCACCACGCCCTCCGGGGCAAGGAGTCAAAGGAGTTAAAGTCCAGTTTCCACTTTGTCAGCTTGGCGTGGACAGATGCTTTCCAAATGTTTTCATGTTTTAAATCAGTTTGATTTGATGTACATAGCGAGTTAAGACCCATTTTATTGCATAAAAGATATTGATTATAGATCAGATCGTCTAGACTGGGCGCCGCCATTGTGTTTGAAGAAAATCAAGCGAAACAAGAGGACAACAACTCGTAGCTGGCACTGGTAGTGCGACGATCAACCTACGAAATTCCAGTCGTGTTCGGCAAGGATGGAAACTGGACTTTCACATTCAGTTAACTCCGTTGCCTAGTGATGAAGGTGACTCACTCGCTCACCACACCTTCATATGTGACCCAGTTACTCGTCACAATCTTCATATTTGACTCACCACACCCTCAGATCTGACTGACTGACTGACTCACTCAACCAACATGTGATCCACTCACTCATTCACCACATTTTCAGATGTACCTAAACCATTCACTCACCAGATCTTCACATGTGAACAACTTACTCACTCGTATACCTTCAGACGTGACCCACTCAATCACCCAACACACCTTCAGGTGCGACCAGCCAACTTACCCAACACACCTTCAGGTGTGAATCCTTCAGTATCATTTAATACATGATCCATTCACAAGACATTCAGCCGTGACCAACTACTTCACTCGCCACGCCTTCATATGTGACCCACTCACAAGACATTCAGCCGTCACCCACTACTTCACTCGCCACGCCTTCATATGTGACCCACTACTTCACTCACCACGCCTTCATATGTGACCCACTACTTCACTCACCTCGCCTTCATATGTGACCCACTACTTCACTCACCAAGCCTTCATATGTGACCCACTACTTCACTCACCACGCCTTCATATGTGACCCACTACTTCACTCACCACGCCTTCATATGTGACCCACTACTTCACTCACCACGCCTTCATATGTGACCCACTACTTCACTCACCACGCCTTCATATGTGACCCACTGCTTCACTCACCACGCCTTCATGTGTGACCCACTACTTCACTCACCACGCCTTCATATGTGACCCACTACTTCACTCACCACGCCTTCATATGTGACCAACTACTTCACTCACCACGCCTTCATATGTGACCCACTCACAAGACATTCATCCGTGACCCACTACTTCACTCACCACGCCTTCATATGTGACCCACTTCACTCGCCACGCCTTCACATGTGACCCACTACTTCACTCACCACGCCTTCATATGTGACCCACTTCACTCGCCACGCCTTCACATGTGACCCACTCACTCACCACGCCTTCATATGTGACCCACTTCACTCACCACGCCTTCATATGTGACCCACTTCACTCACCACGCCTTCATATGTGACCCACTTCACTCACCACGCCTTCATACGTCACTGAGGGGGATGTGAAGTCCATATTGAAGAACTCATATCCCGTCCTCTGCCTGACGTCGTACGGTCCAGCCCTTTTGTCATCAAACCTAGACTGTTCTATCAACATCCACGTGCAGTTGCCCTGTTCGTTGTCCGTCACGTACGCCATGCCTTGTAACAATACATACTGCATCAGGATATAAATCGCGTACGCCATGCCTCGTAACAATACCTACTGCATCAGGATATAAATCACGTACGCCATGCCTGGTAACAATACCCAAACCATCAGGATATATATCTTGTACGCCATGCCTTGTAACAATACCCAAACCATAAGGATATATATCATGTACGCCATGCCTTGTAACAATACCCAAACCATCAGGATATATATCTTGTACGCCATGCCTTGTAACAATACCCAAACCATAAGGATATATATCATGTACGCCATGCCTGGTAACAATACCCAAACCATCAGGATATATATCTTGTACGCCATGCCTGGTAACAATACCCAAACCATCAGGATATATATCTTGTACGCCATGCCTTGTAACAATACCCAAACCATCAGGATATATATCATGTACGCCATGCCTGGTAACAATACCCAAACCATCAGGATATATATCTTGTACGCCATGCCTGGTAACAATACCCAAACCATAAGGATATATACCATGTACGCCATGCCTTGTAACAATACCCAAACCATCAGGATATATATCTTGTACGCCATGCCTTGTAACAATACCCAAACCATCAGGATATATATCATGTACGCCATGCCTTGTAACAATACCCAAACCATCAGGATATATATCTTGTACGCCATGCCTTGTAACAATACCCAAACCATCAGGATATATATCTTGTACGCCATGCCTGGTAACAATACCCAAACCATCAGGATATATATCTTGTACGCCATGCCTTGTAGCAATTCCCACCCATAAGGATATAAATCATGAACTCAACACCTCGTTGTAATACCTATATCATCGGGTTATAAATTACTTGTAATTAAATGATGTGCGCAATGATTATTCAAGCAAATAAAATCTTTCTGAACTGTACCAGTATTGAAATCGTGTATTTCCGTCAAAGGTCGTGTTCCGAACGAACTTGTTCCTGGTGCCGGCGTGTAGACGTACTTGGTGAGCTTGTAGGAGCTGTCGTACCACTCCTGAAGGACAACGACGCGGCATGTGTACAATGATGTGTAATCTCTATATATGACGTGTATGACTTATCTAAATGACTTACAATATGTACATTGTGTTTACCTCCTTCTTACAAAGTGTATATATCTCCACAACCACATACAAAGTGTATATATCTCCACAACCACATACAAAGTGTATATATCTCCACTACCGCATACAAAGTGTATATATCTCCACTACCACATACAAAGTGTATATATCTCCACTACCACATACAAAGTGTATATATCTCCACTACCACATACAAAGTGTATATATCTCCACTACCGCATACAAAGTGTATATATCTCCACTACCACATACAAAGTGTATATATCTCCACTACCACATACAAAGTGTATATATCTCCACTACCACATACAAAGTGTATATATCTCCACTACCACATACAAAGTGTATATATCTCCACTACCACATACAAAGTGTATATAACTCCACTACCACATACAAAGTGTATATATCTCCACTACCACATACAAAGTGTATATATCTCCACTACCACATACAAAGTGTATATATCTCCACTACCACATACAAAGTGTATATATCTCCACAACAACATACAAAGTGTATATATCTCCACTACCGCATACAAAGTGTATATATCTCCACTACCACATACAAAGTGTATATATCTCCACTACCACATACAAAGTGTATATATCTCCACAACAACATACAAAGTGTATATATCTCCACTACCGCATACAAAGTGTATATATCTCCACTACCACATACAAAGTGTATATATCTCCACAACAACATACAAAGTGTATATATCTCCACTACCACATACAAAGTGTATATATCTCCACTACCGCATACAAAGTGTATATATCTCCACTACCGCATACAAAGTGTATATATCTCCACAACAACATACAAAGTGTATATATCTCCACAACCACATACAAAGTGTATATATCTCCACAACCACATACAAAGTGTATATATCTCCACAACAACATAAAACGTGTATATATCTCCACTACCACATACAAAGTGTATATATCTCCACTACCACATACAAAGTGTATATATCTTCACAACCACATACAAAGTGTATATATCTCCACAACAACATAAAACGTGTATATATCTCCACTACCACATACAAAGTGTATATATCTCCACTACCACATACAAAGTGTATATATCTTCACAACCACATACAAAGTGTATATATCTCCACAACAACATACAAAGTGTATATATCTCCACAACAACATACAAAGTGTATATATCTCCACAACAACATACAAAGTGTATATATCTCCACAACAACATACAAAGTGTATATATCTCCACAACCACGTACAAAGTGTATATAACTCCACTACCACATACAAAGTGTATATATCTCCACTACCACATACAAAGTGTATATATCTCCACTACCGCATACAAAGTGTATATATCTCCACTACCACATACAAAGTGTATATATCTCCACTACCACATACAAAGTGTATATATCTCCACTACCGCATACAAAGTGTATATATCTCCACTACCGCATACAAAGTGTATATATCTCCACAACCACATACAAAGTGTATATATCTCCACTACCGCATACAAAGTGTATATATCTCCACTACCGCATACAAAGTGTATATATCTCCACTACCGCATACAAAGTGTATATATCTCCACAACAACATAAAACGTGTATATATCTCCACTACCGCATACAAAGTGTATATATCTCCACAACCACTTACAAAGTGTATATATCTCCACTACCACATACAAAGTGTATATAACTCCACAACCAAATACAAAGTGTATATATATCCACTACCGCATACAAAGTGTATATATCTCCACAACCACATACAAAGTGTATATATCTCCACAACCACATACAAAGTGTATATATCTCCACTACCACATACAAAGTGTATATATCTCCACAACCGCATACAAAGTGTACATATCTCCACTACCGCATACAAAGTGTATATAACTCCACAACCAAATACAAAGTGTATATATATCCACTACCGCATACAAAGTGTATATATCTCCACAACCACATACAAAGTGTATATATCTCCACAACCACATACAAAGTGTATATATCTCCACTACCACATACAAAGTGTATATATCTCCACTACCACATACAAAGTGTATATATCTCCACAACCGCATACAAAGTGTATATATCTCCACTACCACATACAAAGTGTATATATCTCCACAACAACATAAAACGTGTATATATCTCCACTACCGCATACAAAGTGTATATAACTCCACAACCAAATACAAAGTGTATATATATCCACTACCGCATACAAAGTGTATATATCTCCACAACCACATACAAAGTGTATATATCTCCACAACCACATACAAAGTGTATATATCTCCACTACCACATACAAAGTGTATATATCTCCACAACCGCATACAAAGTGTATATATCTTCACAACCACATACAAAGTGTATATATCTCCACAACCATATACAAAGTGTATATATCTCCACTACCGCATACAAAGTGTATATATCTTCACAACCACATACAAAGTGTATATATCTCCACAACCGCATACAAAGTGTATATATCTCCACAACCACGTACAAAGTGTATATATCTCCACAACCACATACAAAGTGTATATATCTCCACAACCGCATACAAAGTGTATATATCTCCACAACCACTTACAAAGTGTATATATCTCCACAACCATATACAAAGTGTATATATCTCCACTACCACATACAAAGTGTATATATCTCCACTACCACGAACAAAGTGTATACATCTCCACAACCACATACAAAGCGTATATATCTCCACAACCACATACAAAGTGTATATATCTCCACTACCATATACAAAGTGTATATCTCTCCACTACCACATACAAAGTGTATATATCTCCACAACCAAATACAAAGTGTATATATCTCCACACCACATACAAAGTGTATATATCTCCACAACCATATACAAAGTGTATATATCTCCACAACCGCATACAAAGTGTATATATCTCCACAACCGCATACAAAGTGTATATATCTCCACAACCACATACAAAGTGTATATATCTCCACAACCATATACAAAGTGTATATATCTCCACAACCACATACAAAGTGTATATATCTCCACAACCGCATACAAAGTGTATATAACTCCACAACCACATACAAAGTGTATATAACTCCACTACCACATACAAAGTGTTGACATCTCCACAACCGCATACAAAGTGTATATATCTCCACAACCGCATACAAAGTGTATATATCTCCACAACCATATACAAAGTGTATATATCTCCACAACCACATACAAAGTGTATATATCTCCACAACCGCATACAAAGTGTATATATCTCCACAACCACATACAAAGTGTATATATCTCCACAACCATATACAAAGTGTATATATCTCCACAACCACATACAAAGTGTATATATCTCCACAACCGCATTCAAAGTGTATATAACTCCACAACCACATACAAAGTGTATATAACTCCACTACCACATACAAAGTGTTGACATCTCCACAACCGCATACAAAGTGTATATATCTCCACAACCGCATACAAAGTGTATATAACTCCACAACCACATACAAAGTGTATATATCTCCACAACCACATACAAAGTGTATATATCTCTACTACCACATACAAAGTGTATATAACTCCACAACCACATACAAAGTGTATATATCTCCACTACCACATACAAAGTGTATATATCTCCACAACCACATACAAAGTGTTGACATCTCCACAACCGCATACAAAGTGTATATATCTCCACAACCGCATACAAAGTGTATATAACTCCACAACCACATACAAAGTGTATATATCTCCACAACCACATACAAAGTGTATATATCTCCACTACCGCATACAAAGTGTATACTTCTCCACAACCGCATACAAAGTGTATATATCTCCACTACCACATACAAAGTGTATATATCTCCACAACCACATACAAAGTGTATATATCTCCACTACCACTAACAAAGTGTATACATCTCCACAACCACATACAAAGTGTATATATCTCCACTACCACATACAAAGTGTATATATCTCCACTACCACATACGAAGTGTATATATCTCCACAACCACATACAAAGTGTATATATCTCCACAACCACATACAAAGTGTATATATCTCCACTACCACATACAAAGTGTATATATCTCCACAACCACATACAAAGTGTATATATCTCCACTACCACTAACAAAGTGTATACATCTCCACAACCACATACAAAGTGTATATATCTCCACTACCACATACAAAGTGTATACAACTTCACTATCACATACAAAGTGTATATATCTCCACTACCACATACAAAGTGTATATAACTCCACTACCACATACGAAGTGTAAATATCTTCACTACCACTAACAAAGTGTATATATCTCCACTACCACTAACAAAGTGTATACATCTCCACAACCACATACAAAGTGTATATATCTCCACTACCACTAACAAAGTGTATACATCTCCACAACCACATACAAAGTGTATATATCTCTACTACCACATACGAAGTGTATATATCTTCACTACCACATACAAAGTGTATATAACTCCACTACCACATACAAAGTGTAAATATCTCTATTACCACATACAAAGTGTAAATATCTCTACTACCACATACAAAGAGTATATATCTCCACAACCACATACAAAGTGTATATATCTCCACAACCACATACAAAGTGTATATATCTCCACAACCATATACAAAGTGTATATAACTCCACTACCACATACAAAGTGTAAATATCTCTACTACCACATACAAAGTGTAAATATCTCTACTACCACATACAAAGTGTATATATCTCCACAACCACATACAAAGTGTATATATCTCCACAACCACATACAAAGTGTATATATCTCCACAACCACATACAAAGTGTATATATCTCCACAACCACATACAAAGAATATATAACTCCACTACCACATACAAAGTGTATATATCTCCACTACCACATACAAAGTGTATATAATTCCACTACCACATACAAAGTGTATATAACTCCACAACCATATACAAAGTGTATATATCTTCACTACCACATACAAAGTGTATATAACTCCACTACCACATACAAAGTGTATATATCTTCACTACCACATACAAAGTGTATATATCTCCACAACCACATACAAAGTGTATGTAACTCCATTACTACATACAAAGTGTATATATCTCCACTTTCACATACAAAGTGTAAATATCTCTACTACCACATACAAAGTGTATATAACTCCACTACCACATACGAAGTGTATATATCTCCACTACCACATACGAAGTGTATATATCTCTACTACCACATACAAAGTGTAAATATCTCTACTACCACATACAAAGTGTATATAACTCCACTACCACATACGAAGTGTATATATCTCTACTACCACATACAAAGTGTATATAACTCCACTACCACATACGAAGTGTATATATCTCTACTACCACATACAAAGTGTAAATATCTCTACTACCACATACAAAGTGTATATATCTCCACAACCACATACAAATTGTATATATCTCCACAACCACATACAAAGTGTATATATCTCCACTACCACATACAAAGTGTATATATCTCCACAACCACATACGAAGTGTAAATATCTCTACTACCACATACAAAGTGTATATAACTCCACTACCACATACAAAGTGTATGTAACTCCATTACTACATACAAAGTGTATATATCTCCACTTCCACATACAAAGTGTATATAAATCCACTACCACATACAAAGTGTATATATCTTCACTACCACATACAAAGTGTATATATCTCCACTACCACATACAAAGTGTATATATCTCCACTACCACATACGAAGTGTATATATCTCTACTACCACATACAAAGTGTAAATATCTCTACTACCACATACAAAGTGTATATAACTCCACTACCACATACGAAGTGTATATATCTCTACTACCACATACAAAGTGTAAATATCTCTACTACCACATACAAAGTGTATATATCTCCACAACCACATACAAAGTGTATATATCTCCACAACCACATACAAAGTGTATATATCTCCACTACCACATACAAAGTGTATATAATTCCACTACCACATACAAAGTGTATATAACTCCACAACCATATACAAAGTGTATATATCTTCACTACCACATACAAAGTGTATATAACTCCACTACCACATACAAAGTGTATATATCTTCACTACCACATACAAAGTGTATATATCTCCACTACCACATACAAAGTGTATATAACTCCACTACCACATACGAAGTGTAAATATCTCTACTACCACATACAAAGTGTAAATATCTCTACTACCACATACAAAGTGTATATATCTCCACAACCACATACAAAGTGTATATATATCCACAACCACATACAAAGTGTATATATCTCCACAACCACATACGAAGTGTATATATCTCCACAACCACATACAAAGTGTATATATCTCCACAACCACATACAAAGTGTATATATCTCCACTACCACATACAAAGTGTATATAACTCCACTACCACATACGAAGTGGATATAACTCCACTACCACATACAAAGTGTATATATATACACAACCACATACAAAATGTCCAATCTCCACAACCACGTACAAAGTGCATATATCTCCAAAACCACATACAAAGTGTATATATCTCCACTACCACATACAAAGTGTATATAACTCCACTACCACATACAAAGTGTATATAACTCCACTACCACATACAAAGTGTATATATCTCTACTACCACATACAAAGTGTAAATATCTCCACAACCACATACAAAGTGTATATATCTCTACTACCACATACAAAGTGTAAATATCTCCACTACCACATATAAAGTGTATATAACTCCACTACCACATACAAAGTGTATATATCTCCACTACCACATACAAAGTGTAAATATCTCCACAACCACATACAAAGTGTATATATCTCCACTACCACATACAAAGTGTATACAACTCCACAACCACATACAAAGTGTTTATATCTCCACAACCACATACAAAGTGTTTATCTGTTCACAACCAAATACGAAGTGTATATATATATATATATATATATATACTGTAACCCTTAATATATTAAAGAAAAAAACCAATTGTGGTAGGCAAACGACAGAAAGACAGACAGTGTACCTCACCTTCATAAAGTAGACGACTTTTTCGACGCTGTTCACGATCTCGACAGTCATTTGGAACGCGGGGGCTATCGTCGGGAACGGCTTTGTGTCGACCCTTCCCGGACACGACACATCCGCCGGCGTCTAAACATTGAACACATCGACCTCGACTTAGTGACGTAGAATAGTATCTCAAGGGCCAATCAGGATTCTAACCCAAGGTCGTCAGATTCTGCCAACCCAGGGATGCAAGTCAGGGCGGTACATCAGATATCAAAAGCATCCATTTAGTGCGTTAGAATTATTAATAAAAACAGCTTTTTAAATAAATTTTTAAAACTTTGAAAGTCCGTTTTAATGCCAGGGATAATTTATGTCACTTTTGAACTCGATTAAAAGAACGTAAACGGATTGGGCGACGTGATAGCCCGTGGAACGTCACTGAACAGACAGAAACTGCCCCATGTCTGACACGTCATGAGTAACACAGTCACTACTTAATGTTGAATCCAAACACACTATCTACGCTGCTGGAAATTACAGAGGTACATATATTACACACAAAATAACAGGGTTAAGAATGAAACAAACAAGACATGGTTATTCTATGGCTATGTATTTGATAGTAAATCATAGTTCTGCTTTGGACTTTAAGTTATCAGTGTTTAGACGACTGTTTTCAGCCTAGTCACTTTTCGAGAACATTTGTAATTTTTTGGTCAAATCCAATTTTATACTTTATGTTGCCGTGCAGTTTATGTATTGTATCAATTGACACTGCGACTTCGTATATGCACTCCATAAAGTTTTCATGGAACAAGCGTGAAAGCACTGAGTGTCATTGTGTCGTTAACTATGAGGGTATTTAAATTACATCATCTTTCTGTATATAAATGACAAAACTATCATCAGACCATCAAGACCGCCGAAGAGCGCAAGGTCGGGGTTCGATCCCCAGCCGCTTCATACCAAAAGATGTCAAAGATGGTATTTGTTGTTACCCTGCCTGGCGCTCGGCATTAAGGGGATAAAAGAAGGACTGGTCTACCGTGTCTGAGTGGGGTATTCATGTTAAACTGCGGCACTATATATCGGCGTCAGTCCGGACTATATAAGTGCAATAATCTTGTACGCGATTTCACCTCACATCACCTCAGACCAGCAAACTCGGTCTAATCGTTGACCGTTAATAGGCAGCATAATGTGTAGAATCGCTTAATAAATGCACTCCCCCTGAACGGAATAAATGCATTTGTGAAATGACATAAAATCTCGCTGTAAATGTCTAATAACCTAGTACACTTGTGAGAATTAAATCTGCTCGGCCAGTGCAGTTTATGTTAACTCCTAACAAGCTGAAGTATCACCTACTTTGGATCCCTAAACACGAACTGGTGTCCCTGTGAACGTCAGGTGAAATGACGTTTAACGTCGCGTTATTTCGCTTCACATAGTGACGTGCATCTACGCGTGTGTCTGGCTGCTTATACTAGCCGGGATTACGTACCAGCTCATAACATGGATACCCCACTCAGACATAATTTAGCATACGCCTAGTCTCTTTTTTTATCACATTAACGCCGAGCACCAGGCAGGGTAACAACATGTACCATATTTTAACGTGTTTTAGTGTGACGCGGTCAGTGATCTAACCACCGACTCGATCCACTACACCACGGAGGTGGTTCCCCTTGAAGATTTGGTTACAGGGAAAAGGATACCTCGCGATTATAAGAACCCAACATTAATAAATTAAATATTATGGAAATGCATTTACAATATTGATCGATTAGATTCTAACACCTGACAACTCCGCCACACCTACCTCAAATGCATATGGTGCGTCTATGTAGTCCTTGAAGTGTATGAAGTCGTAGATGTGTTCAAAGCTGTGGGCGGGACCTCCTGCCTGGGTCCCCACTTTCCCGACCACGTGAGCCCGGATCGGGACGTCAGGGAGGCTTAGGGCCATGTCCCAGGAGTCGGGATCTGGTTGGAGGGTAGAACATGTACACATTCACGGGTTAACATGACTCCGTCTACCAAACTTACAACTGGAGGGTTAAAGGGATGGTCGGCATACTCAACACATATTCGTCTGTAGGTCGTCAACTTCCACAAAGACCACACTGACGTGAATCAGATGCAGGCCAAAGGCAATCTGCCCATGTCTATTCCCCGGTGGCTTATTATTCTTATCGACTAACGGGATCGGGTGGTCAGGCTCGCTCACTCGGTTGACGCATGTCATCGTTTCGGAATTGCGTATATCGATGCTTATAACGTCATTCACAGTTCTGTTTGGTCTGGACTAGATATTAGGACCGCCGTCATGTAGTTAGAAAGCTGCTGACCGCATTGTTAAACAATGAATTCTAGAGTCGAAGATATTGTCTGTTTGAGAAACCTAATGATACTGTTATTCTGCGGGATCTGTCTGCTACATCTAGGTTCGTCTCGCTGACTTGGTTTATGCATGTCATCGAATCCCAATTGCGTGGATTGATGCTTATGATGTCAATCACTGGATTGTCTGGTCCAGACTCGATTATTTACAGACCGCCGTCATATAGCTGCGATATTGCTGAGTGAGGCCTTAAACAACAAACAAACAAACAAAAAACAAATCACAGATCTGTCAGGTGACACAATGGATACCAATGACTTCATGGCTTCTTACCTGAGAAGTACCACGTGACATTCATGGTAGTGTCCATGTTCTGCCAATACTGACACGAGTGCCATGTCTGGACGTTGATGCCTCGGACAGTGTCCGGCCCGATGTAGAGCTCCTGCACTCCATCCCCGGAGAAATGGAGGGCCCCCGCCGCCGTGTAGATGTGGCCGCCCTGACCGTTCTGCTGGAACCCGAACAGGAAGCGCTGACTGGCCCTCGATATGTCCGTCACGTAGCATGTCTCTGTACATCAACAAACAGCTGGCAATGAGTGAGTGAACATTGTTTTTATGGTGTAACCAGTAATCTTTTAACGTGTTTTGATGTGACGCGGTCAGTGATGCAACCTTACGCCCTATGTACAGACGCTCTATCCACTAAACCACGGAGGCGGTTCCCTTTGAAGATTTGGTTACAGGGCAAGGGATACGCCCACGACTAAAATGAATGAGTGAGTATGGTTTTACGCCGCTTTTAGCAATATTCCAGCAATATCACGGCGGGGACACCAGAAATGGACTTCACACATTGTACCCATGTCGGGAATCGAACCCGGGTCTTCGGCGTGACGAGCGAACGCTTTAACCACTAGGCTACCCGACCGCCCCTACAGTATGATGATCAGTACTTGTTACACGCCTGTCATGATGAGAACTGGAACTATTATTCCCATCTACAAAGGGAATAATAAAGATAAATGCAACGATTATAAGCACCAAATATTAATGCGCTATGAATGCCACCCTCGGGGCAGACGCTTTATCCATTTGAACAAAATACACATAGCTGTGTCTATCCCCGGTACGTCTGGCCCATCTACACGCCGTCGCTGTATTACTGCTTAGCACAACGTTAAACAACAAACAAACTGACAAATATCAAGAGTGAAAAACATACCAGTGGTGATATGGGGTGAATGGGGTTTAACGTCGCGTTCAAGATTATTTCACTTATATAGCTACGTGCATGTACGTGTATGTGTGTGTGGCTGCTTTACTTGTCCAGACTGATGCCGAATTTATAATGCTAGCCCACTGAGATACCATGCCGAAGTTTAACATGAATACCCCACTCAGACACAGTCTACTGACTCAGAGCCGACCAGTCCTTGCTTTAACCCCTTAATGCCGAGCGCCAGCAGGGTAACAACAAGTACCATCTTTTGACGTCTTTTGGTATGACGCGGCTGGGGATCGAACCCCGGACCTTCCACTCACTGGACAATGGAGGCGGTCACTTCTTTTAGGCATCTGTTGACATTAGAAAATATCATATCTCACTCGTATCGGGATATATCGTGAGGAACTCGTTGTTGTTGTAGTCGAAGTAGCCGTAGAAAGTCTTTCCCTGCTGCGTCTGGTGGATGACGCCCATGTTCATGTTGTAGTCAAAGAACTCGTGCACTTCCACGGAGATGTTCTTGTTCACGATGATACACTCGATGTGGACCTCGAAGGTCGGCGGAAGCTGGTCAGGCATCCGCTGAGGGGCTAGACCGGTGGGTGAAGATATAAAGACAGGGAAATATATTTCCACTGAGGACCTAGACTAGAGGGTGAAAACAGGGAAATATATTTTACACTGATGGCCAAGACTAGAGGGTGAAAACAGGGAAATATATTTTACACTGATGGCCAAGACTAGAGGGTGAAAGCAGGGAAATATATTTTACACTGAGGGCCTAGACTAGAGGGTGAAAACAGGGACATATATTTTACGCTGAGGGCCTAGACTAGAGGGTGAAAACAGGGAAATATATTTTACGCTGAGGGCCTAGACGAGAGGGTGAAAACAGGGAAATATATTTTACGCTGGGGGCCTAGACTAGATTGTGAAAACAGGGAGATATATTTTCACTGAGGGCCTAGACTAAAGGATGAAAACAGGGAAATATATTTTTCACCGAGGGCCTAGCGTAGTGCGTGAAAACAGGGAAATATATTTTACACTGATGGCCTAGACTATTGGGTGAAAACAGGGAAATATATTTTACACTGATGGCCTAGACCATTGCGTGAAAACAGGGAAATTTATTTTATACTGAGGGCCTAGACTAGAGGGTGAAAACATAAAAATATATTTTACGCTGAGGGCCTAGACTAGAGGGTGAAAACAGGGAAATATATTTTACGCCGAGGGCCTAGACTAGAGGGTGAAAACAGGGAAATATATTTTACGCTGGGGGCCTAGACTAGATTGTGAAAACAGGGAAATATATTTTCACTGAGGGCCTAGACTAAAGGATGAAAACAGGGAAATATATTTTTCACCGAGGGCCTAGCGTAGTGCGTGAAAACAGGGAAATATATTTTACACTGATGGCCTAGACTAGATTGTGAAAACAGGGAAATATATTTTCACTGAGGGCCTAGACTAAAGGATGAAAACAGGGAAATATATTTTTCACCGAGGGCCTAGCGTAGTGCGTGAAAACAGGGAAATATATTTTACACTGATGGCCTAGACTATTGGGTGAAAACAGGGAAATATATTTTACACTGATGGCCTAGACCATTGCGTGAAAACAGGGAAATTTATTTTATACGGAGGGCCTAGACTATTGGGTGCAAACATAAAAATATATTTTACACTGAGGGCCTAGACTAGAGGGTGAAAACAGGGAAATATATTTTACGCTGAGGGCCTAGACTAGAGGGTGAAAACAGGGAAATATATTTTACACTGAGGGCCTAGACTAGAGGGTGAAAACAGGGAAATATATTTTACACTGAGGGCCTAGACTAGATTGTGAAAACAGGGAAATATATTTTCACTGAGGGCCTAGATTAAAGGATGAAAACAGGGAAATATATTTTTCACCGAGGGCCTAGCGTAGTGCGTGAAAACAGGGAAATATATTTTACACTGATGGCCTAGACTATTGGGTGAAAACAGGGAAATATATTTTACACTGATGGCCTAGACCATTGGGTGAAAACAGGGAAATTTATTTTATACTGAGGGCCTAGACTATTGGGTGAAAACATAAAAATATATTTTACACTGAGGACCTAGACTAGAGGGTGAAAACAGGGAAATATATTTTATACTGAGGGCCTAGACTAGATTGTGAAAACAGGGAAATATATTTTTACTGAGGGCCTAGACTTAAGGATGAAAACAGGGAAATATATTTTTCACCGAGGGCCTAGCGTAGTACGTGAAAACAGGGAAATATATTTTACACTGATGGCCTAGACCATTGCGTGAAAACAGGGAAATATATTTTACACTGATGGCCTAGACCATTGCGTGAAAACAGGGAAATATATTTTACACTGATGGCCTAGACCATTGCGTGAAAACAGGGAAATTTATTTTATACTGAGGGCCTAGACTATTGGGTGAAAACATAAAACTATATTTTACACTGAGGACCTAGACTAGTGGGTGAATAAAAGGACAATATATATTTCACTGAGAGCCTTGGCCATTCCTTCAAATTTAGATGTGACCTGTAGTGAATTAGATCTTGGGATTGAACAACAACCGGACGGTACCGGTTCTCTCTGGTTGTGTGAAGGTTCAGTACATGTTACCTTAGGTTTTCTATTACCTGGTAAATGATGACCTGGATAGCTAGATTGCTGATTGTACTGATTGAATCACGCTTAGACTTGACTGTACGATAACAGGTTGTGTAACATGCCAATCACTGATATATACTGAATACGATGTCTCGTTACTCTGAAGTATAGAGCGGCGTCAGTTTGGATTTGGGTCAAGTTCTTTCTTGTATATTTCGGCACCAATTTATAAATTTCTGATATTTTTTCCGTAGAGAAATCTTTTATTTGAATAAGAACGAGTGAGTGTTGAATATCAGAGTGAGTAAGTATGTTTTCATGCTGCTTTTACATATATTCAGCAATATCACGCCGGGGACACCAGAAATAGGCTTCACATATTAAACCGAAGTCGGGAAATCGGGTCTTCGGCGTGACGAGCGAACGCTTTAACCACAAGGCTGCCCTTTTAAAGTCAGAAAACGATATCTTAAGTACATATATGCATGTACTCTTATCCTGGAGAGTTCGCGTGATTATAAACTACATTATCTTATCGTTAGACAATGGACATACCTGATTACATTACAGGTGTTCTACGCAGGGGATATATTAAATTTAATAATAATCCAAATACACACCATAATGTGTCGGGGCGAATATATAACTTGTTTTCTGTATCAAAGTAATAATTGTGCTGTATTTGTAAAAACTAATTTATTCTAAAGTACGAGAAATTCATGGAACGATGTGACTTGGCCAGGATTTAATTCCTATATAACTGGTTGGACACGTGACCCTGTTACCTGATGGCGTGGGGCCCGTCATGGCGCATACCGAGCTGTCGTAAGCTCCTCTCGCCGCCCCCAGCATCATCAACAGCAGCAGCAACAACGCCGTCTTCATCTCTTTACCTGACGCAGAAGGACAACACTGTTGATAGGATCATTATACCTTATATACCTTATACAGTGTTTGTTTGATTGCTGTTTGATTCCAGAATGATAACTAGACTTATACGCGTCTTCCAGAACGATAACAACAATTATACGTGCTTTTCAGAATTATAACTTCAATTATACGTGTCTTCCAGAATGATAACTACAATTATGCCTGTCTTTCAGAATGATAACTACAATTAAACGTGTCTTTCAGAATGATAACTAGACATATATATGTCTTCAAGAATAATAAATAGACTTATACGTGTCTTCCAGAAAGAAAACTACAATTGTACCAGTCTTCCAGAATGGTAACTACAATTATATGCGTCTTCCAGAATAATAACTGCAATTTTACGTGCCTTTCAGGATGATAACTACATTGTAAGATTATATGCGTCTTTCAGAATGATAACTTAAATTATACCAGTCTTTCAGAATGACAACTACAATTATGCCAGTCTTTCATAATGATAGCTACTATTGTACGTGTCTTTCAAAATGATAACTACAATTATACAAGTCTTTCAAAATGATAGCTACTATTATACGTGTCTTTCAAAATGATAACTACAATTATACCAGTCTTTCATAATGATAGCTACTATTATACGTGTCTTTCAAAATGATAACTACAATTATACCAGTCTTTCAAAATGATAGCTACTATAATACGTGTCTTTCAAAATGATAACTACAATTATACCAGTCTTTCAAATTGATAGCTACTATTATACATGTCTTTCAAAATGAAAACTACAATTATACCAGTCTTTCAAAATGATAGCTACTATTATACGTGTCTTTCAAAATGATAACTACAATTATACCAGTCTTTCATAATGATAGCTACTATTGTATGCGTCTTTCAGAGTGATAAATACAATTATATCGGTCTTTCAGAATGATAACTACAATTATACCAGTCTTTCAGAATGATAACTACAATTATACCAGTCTTTCAGAGTGATAAATACAATTATATCGGTCTTTCAGAATGATAACTACAATTATACCAGTCTTTCAAAATGATAGCTACTATTATACGTGTCTTTCAAAATGATAACTACAATTATACCAGTCTTTCATAATGATAGCTCCTATTATACGTGTCTTTCAAAATGATAACTACAATTATACCAGTCTTTCAAAATGATAGCTACTATTATACGTGTCTTTCAAAATGATAACTACAATTATACCAGTCTTTCAAAATGATAGCTACTATTATACGTGTCTTTCAAAATGATAACTACGATTATACCAGTCTTTCAAAATGATAGCTACTATTATACGTGTCTTTCAAAATGATAACTACAATTATACCAGTCTTTCATAATGATAGCTACTATTATACGTGTCTTTCAAAATGATAACTACAATTATACCAGTCTTTCAAAATGATAGCTGCTATTATACGTGTCTTTCAAAATGATAACTACAATTATACCAGTCTTTCAAAATGATAGCTACTATTATACGTGTCTTTCAAAATGATAACTACAATTATACCAGTCTTTCAAAATGATAGCTACTATTATACGTGTCTTTCAAAATGATAACTGTAATTATACCAGTCTTTCATAATGACAACTACAATTATACCAGTCTTTCAGAATCATAGCTACAATTATACGTGTCTTTCAAAATGATAACTACAATTGTGTGTGTCATGGAAATTACGGTGGGACGGTGATGTCTGCACGTGTACGGGACATGTCAATGTCTTAACCACGAGCATATCATACCGCCCAGTGGAAGTAAACACGCTTGTCGTCTTCCAGCGTTTATACAGAACAACACTGGGTGCATTCATATCTGTAAATTATGGTTTCGTAGGAGTCATGTATTCTTTCTGAAACATTATCAAATATAGACGAGCGGCCTACGATATGAGGTGACAATGCATGATTATGAGAGATAGCGTCCTAAGTGACGAGACCTACCTTGGCAACTGGCGGGAATCACAGTGAGAGGTGACAACGTATGTCAATAACACTCAGTGAAAACCTGGGTGTAATATCCACTAAATGAAGAAGACACCTTGTACGCCGAAGAATTGTTGATTTCAGTAGGCAGGTTGAGATCTAAGTTACATTTTTTTGCAGATGATAACAGCATTGTTATCACCGATATCAGCGGCCATGAATATCAGCGCCAACCTGCACGGATCCTTGCTACCCTATGCAGCAACTATACGACCTGATAACATTAGGTTAAAGTTAAATACCACAGTTCAAGTTTAAGGAAGGGTTATTTCAAACCATTTAATGTTGAATTTCCATCCATAGTACACTATAAAATCTCGCATGCAAAAAGGAGTAAATATGAATCCAATATATTGTACGGTGAATATGTAAACTACATTCGGTAAAGAAATGACAATACTGTTTAACGGAACTAAGAAACAGTTACACGACATTATTTGTGTCGCTGCTTCTAACATTACGATATCAACAACCAAGAGGAAGCGTGGTTCTCATATTGAACACATGTAATGGACAAATTTAAAAAAAATACTATTTGGAGCACTGCCGAAGTTCGACTTATGGGACAAGTTATTAAAACAGTTGAACTTCTTTTGCCGTGACAATCAAGTTATCTATTTTATCTTCGTAT